CCCCCGTTATTTTGGGTGGAAAAAGAAGAAATGACTGAAGGAAGAAAAGCTGACAGGGCAAGTAAAACAAAACCTCCCCCCGCTTAGCTCAAAGTCTGGATCAGCCACTGGTCTGTGCCATTGAAAAGTCATTATAAAGTTTGTTTTTGTTTTCTTACCGCAGGATAGTTTGCTACAAGATAATTTCTTAACAGTTCAAATTCACTGTATCTTCTCCATATTGATGATGACATGTCGGGCTCCCCGGCAGGAGGGCCTCCATCAATGTACCTAAAAAGTAACAGGAATGAATGAACTCTACTTTAACTTAACTTAGGTGTTTAAATGGATATCGGTAAATTGAACAGTTGAGGATGACCCGATGATGGACAAGCATCTCATCCACAGTGGATCAAGTACAGTCATACATCGTTCAGGCCTTCTAACAGGGTGAGGGCTGGTCAATAACACACAATTCTCCAAAACCCGCAACCCGTCAAGTTTAGTTGTGTCACATGCAATATGATTTTGTTTAGACAGACTCAGTCAGACACAGTTTTCTAAAAAAATTTGCGACTGCTAGGTGTATTTGAACTGCTAGTGAAATAAATTTGGTTAAATTTTTATCATTGCTGAATTTCCTTGCTTAGCTGTAGGACTTAGCAAAACACTTCAAATCCCGCACAATTCCCAGCACAATCAACGTTTTTTTCCCGCACAATTTGCCTCTAAAATCCTGCACAATTTTAATTTTTTTTCCCACTCCCTGTCAGAAGGCCTTCATTCCGGCACTGGACAGATTTGGGAGCTATTTTCTGTTAAATGTGGCCCAGGGGACTTCAGATTTTACGAACTCCCAATCCTAGGGAAAAAAAAAACATTTTTTCACCTTTCCTGCTACGCACAATTCCCACCGTGCCAGCCAAGTAAATAAGTCTTAAATAATTTGTTTTACAAGCTTAAAGTAAGATTCATTAAATTCATGATCAATGTGTACATTTGATTCTGCATGATGCAGACGTTTTCGCGTTTTCCGATCACTATATATTTCGGCCCACGCAATGCTTCCAATACAACCATAGCAGATCAGATTTAGCGCATCACAACTTCAAAACAAGGCCGAGAGATCAATTTTCATAGTACCGATTTGACGCGTCCAAACCTTGATGTACCCTGGAAAACACAAATACTCACTTGGTTTCTATGAGATAAACTGTGTAAGGTTCCTTTAGAATATCAGTGTATCTTTTCTCCGAGTCAATTATCGATATGATCATTGTATTTAATAGACTTCCATCTGGAAAATATTGAATTTTCTTCGCCTCGTCCCCCATGAAGTCCGCCATGTTATTTTTCTGATCCCAAGCATGCGCATTATCGTGTCAGCGGTCAAAAGTTGAATCCAAAATGGCGGAAAAAACGGATAAGGGCTTCATGGCTCGTACGGCGAGTATTACTGCAAAAAGAGCCAAACGAGCTCAAGAAAAGGTAAGCTAAGTACCTGTTCTCTCGTTCCTGTAACTGGTAGCCTTAAGAAAGTTGTGGTAGTTGATGAACTAATACTCATGTGACATGTCATATGGGTGGTGGTTGAGAAATCGGAAATGCACGAATGTGTTTTGACTATAAACATTACTCTGTTAACGGCCTTCGCTTATACTTCTAGGTGATGCAAAAGCTTGGAAAAGCCAACGAGACAAAGGATCTGACGTTTGACGAGTTCGTAACTAACTTTAATAAACAACAGGTTTGAAAAGAGCAGTACGACACCAGGAGCTTACGCTTAATATAATTGTGTAAATGAGAGTATTGTAAGCTTGGTAATCTGATTCCAAGAGATAGCGTTCGATATTCCCACCATATTTAATTTGGGTTATTTTCAATTCTTTTTTTACGAATGTAGATATAGAATAAAAAGCTTGGGATTGAAGTATTCTGCACAACTCTGATCCACATGTAGTTGTCAGTAGATCATGCCATACACCTAATCTAAGTGGGCTTAAATATTGTGACACGCTTACTGTACATACATGTGACATAGTGCTCTAGCTTACCGGATATTTAAAAGCAAATGAATTTATAAGACAAAATGAAAAAACGTTTTGGTTTCTTTTTGTGCAAGATTTTTGTTTCATTTTCTTACATTTCGATCTGGGGACCATTTTTTTATTTTTTAATAAAGGCTCTAAACATGTTTCATGTTTTCATATTGGGAGCCATGTCCCCAATTGGTTGTTTTTAGTGCTAAATACCCTTGACACTCAAGTCCTTCTTTCTTTCTTCTTTTGGGAATGGTCATACACAGTTGTTATTGTTCTTGGTTGCAGGTTTAATTCTTAATTTATTTTCTAGAGTGCAGCCCAGAGATTACATAAAGAATTAAAAAATTATTACTCTTGTGTCAAAGGTGAGGATCTCATTACAAATTGACATGAATGCCTTTGATTTTTAGAATTATTTTGGAAGGCTCACAACCATACACTCCAAAAGCTCAAGGACCGCCAATAAAGGCGGTAACCTATAGCACCTGTTACTTGATGGGCCCTTGATGCAATGGGTGAACTTGCCTCAGAGCTAAAAAAGAATTGAATTCCAGCTTGCCTTTGAGACAAGTAGCTCTCAAATTTTGTTTGTCCAGCAAGTCTTAGTTTGCTTTTTGACTGATTTAGATGGCAAAGGACTTTCCTGGGCTGTGAGAATGAAAAGTTACTTGCCCAGAAGGAAAATCTACTTGTCCGGGACAATGGGATGGCACTTTTTTCAAGCCTTGGTCTGTAGTTGATACAATTTACCCATAATTTACAGTACAGTTTTTGTTACAAATGTGAAAACCAAGGCTTTCGATGAATCAAAACTTGATGTCAGCCCTGGTTATTGCTGGGACTGTTTGGTTCTCCATCTTTTATTTAATAAAGAGTTATGTGCTTTGCTTGGTTTCCAAGAAGAGCTGACTGAATGATTGTATTTCTATTTAATTAACTTTTCTACAGCAATGTTAGTGTCTAGTGATGCATTTGGTGATGCTGTTAGAGAAGTTTATGAACCAGAATGGCCAGGACGGGATAAACTGATTCAGTATTTAGAGGTTTGTGATCAAGCAGTTGTAATCGGTCAAGGGTTATGGGCTTTAAGTTTTTTGTAACCTGTCTTAATATTTTTAAGAATTGTTCATTTATATTTTAATTAGGAATTACACAACCAATGGCAAGAATTAGTGGAAAAACTAGATGATGAAGTTATTATCCCATTAACAGCATATCAGAGTCAATTCCCTGACATAAAGGTATTTATATACATGACCGTAAATCCGTGTAACTAAATCCATAACTAATTTGATAAAAAGGATTCTACATACATATTACAAAGTATTCATATTCAAATGTTCATAGAATTATTAATATTAATTTTATTTTGTGTTTTTATTAATCTGTCAATTGTTGCTAGGCATTGTTGAGAGATATAAAGTGATCTTTGTTCTTTGTATGTACTTTGACCCATGATAACCATGTTAATCCATCTCTTATCACGATCATTGTTTTATTAATGAATTTCTTTCACAGGCCAGAATAAACAAACGTGGAAGGAAACTTGTGGACTATGATCGATACAGACACAATTTGGAAGTAAGCTTCTGTTCACAGCTGGCTACCATAAAAAATATTATGTTCTTATGAGTGTATAAAATAAAATGTATGATTTTATCAATTAGTGATTAACCCAAGATTAGGTACTAGGTAAGATGATCACTGGTGTCAATTTTTTCAAAAAACGTCTCTTTAAATTTAACTTAAGGCAGCTTAATTATCAGCCCAGTGCTTTAAATTTATTTTAATTTGATAGCAGGAGGTGAGTAAGACTATTGATATTCTCCCCGGGATGGAATTCTTGCTCATGATTTTCCAGGTAATCACCAATTATTTTTGGCTGGTTTCCTAGACTTCTAGTTGGAGAGATAGACTGTGAGAGTAATTAAAAGTGTCTTGCCCAAGAACACAGCAGAGTGATCCCAGCCAGTGTTCAGGACTGAAACATTGATCTGGTGTCTAATTCATTACCCAGTTGTAGATCACTGCATCTCTTGCTGTCAGTTTTATCCCAACCTTAATCCAGTGTACTGGTAGTTAAGTCTTCAGTGGAAAATTGTACCAGACATTTAGTTAAATATGACTTTGTTTTAACTTTCTAGTCCGAAAGTGGTAAGTTAAATGTGCATTTAATTTGCTTTCTTTGTTAGACACTAAAAGCTAAGGGCAAGACAGCAGATCCTAAAAAGCTTGCTCAGGTGACTATTTCTATCTTTCTTGCATTTCCTCGACGTCTACAATTTATTTGCATCTTGCATGTAGTAGAAGCTGAATCAGCTGGAGCTCCCTGCAGCTCCCTGCAGCTCCCCAACTGAATTATGCTAAGAGCAGTGACTACATGTATTTTTCTCCGATGATAAAACAAGTAGGGAATGTAAAATTAGTGCATGCTGTTTGTTGTTCCCTTTGCATATCTAGCTTTTGAAAGTTGTCTGCTCGTAACCTACCAGTATGACTAAATCTATCCTCAGCTAGCCTCCCACACAGACCTTCTTACGACTCATCGTGTAATCATTCTTTCTTGAAACATTGCACAATGAACCATAGGGAGGTAAACCTGAACAAGTTGAATTTATTTTCAACAGCATGGTTTAAATTTAAAATAAATTACCATGAAAACAATCTTAAATGTAGCTGGTACGCAGTATGCCATATTGCAGGGTGTTTACAAATAACCTTATTTGTGTTCTGTTTCTTTTTAAACTCAGGCAGAGGAAGAATATAATGAAGCAAAATCAGTTTATACAAAGCTGCATGCAGAATTATATGAAGAACTGCCAGCATTATTCGACAGGTGAAGAAAATTATAATTATAATAACAAAAATTTTGATAATACTATTCACTTGTTACTTATCAGCTTTGGGCATAAGCAGTACAAACCCAATGTTGTCCTGTATCATAGGTGGGCAATATATATGTCCAAAGTCTGCATACGAACCAAGTGACCCATCAGGCCGGAGCTTATCCGTGTTTCTGTAGCATGAAGTGACTAGGAGTATTTCTACTCCACCCTGGATGAGATGCTACAGTGTAGTCCATTGCAGAGTTACCCCAAGCATTAAGTTTGCCGGTACCCATTTATACACCTGGGTGGAGAGAGGCACTGTGAGAGTGAAGTGTCTTGTTCAAGAACACAACACAATGTCCCAGTCCTAGGTTTGAACTTATACCGCTCAATCTGGAGATGAGCAAACTAACCATGAGGCCACCGCTTCTCCCACAGGCCTGCAAAAAGTTTCATATTATTAGTAGAGCTGCCACCCTGGGCACCCCTCTAGAAATTCCAGAGAAGAGTATCAAACATTCTTTTAAACATGATCCCCAACCATTCAGAACTTCCAATGACCAGGTTTCGAAGGGTTGGTAAATGACATTTTTATAACAGCATACTTTATATTATTTACGTTGTACTGATTAATACAAAAACAATGAACTAAAATAGACAGTAATCTTAAAGCTACTGTAATGCAGACTTCAGGACTGTTACATGTATGTGGAGAAAGTATCATGTATGTGACAGACTTGTGTATCGTTTCCTCTTACAGTCGCATTGGTTATTATGTGTCATCATTCCAAAGTATCTTCACTGCTGAAGGAGTATTTCACAGAGAAGCAGCTAAGGTAATATAGAACAGCTTCCAAAACAGCCCAAGCCAGCACCCCATCCCCCTCCTCTTATATTTCTGATGTAAAAATATCTCACTCCCCTCCCTTCCCAGAAAAATACATTTCTCATGGGCTACTTGTGCACCGTAAGTCTTCTCTGTATAAGCTGACACCTCTTGCTAACAGCTGTGGCCATTTTTCTTTTGGTCCTCGTTGTTAGATTGCCTATAGTGATCAAAATCAAGCAATGTTAAATGAAATAGTGCAAAGTACAATTCAGGTAGTGAACGTCTTTGTAAGTTATTGTTTTATTATTGTTTCAGACAAAGACACAAGTGAATGATCTAATGGATGGTTTAATTCAGGATATGTCAACTGGAACATACACAACTAAAAGACCTTATCCTGTTGCTAGGTTTGTAACTTGCAATATTTAACTTGTTTCAGTAAAGCAATCTGACTGTACAATAAGGCACCTTTATCTATTTAATATCTGTTTTGATTGATGATCAGTAATTTTTTTCAGTGAGAACCAAGTATCAGACAGCGATGATATGGACACTCAAACAACGTCTTCTCATGCAGAAAGTGGTGATGCAGTAGTGTGCAATGATGAGGCTGCTGCTACAGAAAGTGCTGAAGGTGGAGACCTCCTGTCAGTCTTGTTTCTTAAACCTCATTGTCATTGTGGCCCTTTAAGAAATGAATGGAGGCAAAAAATATTATTAATATAAATTTGCATTTGGCACCGCAAATCTTTTGGACAGTGTTTGGATGAAAAGAAATCTTACTTACAAGTTTCTTGAAATTGACAGAAACCCATACTAGACCCAATTGAACATGTTCCATTGGTATTTGTCAACAGACAGTGTCTGTAGATCTTATGAAATTAATGATAAATTGCAATTTTACTGATTAATTAGTAAGAGCAGTTTTCAATCAAGTGTTGGAGGTAATCAGACAATTACTTTGGTTTTGGTTTTGGTTTTACTATGGTTTGAGATTGGCTGAGTAATCTAATTTGTAAGTAATTAGTTTGGTTTTACGACACTCAATTTAAAAACCCCTCTAGTTGTAGATAATATTCTGATTTGGCTAATTGGTAATGGTTTGTTTACAAATATATATCATATTATTTTGTAATGTGCAGGCCAGTCAGCTGTTTGTAATTACAGTAGATGTGACTCACCCAGTCTTAATAATTTATATCAGTAACAAAATTTTCCTCTTGCTCAGATGGAACAGCTGAAAAAGTAGTCGATGGAGGTGACGGTATGTTTGTGTGTTTTCTTGGCATGATGGTATACTTAATTTCTTGAAGTAGTCCATCCTCTACCACTTACAGATCTTTTGGACAGCAGTCTGCATCTGAGTCACACAATAACTGTCCCATTTATTTTGCAGCCTTAAATCCTTTTACACATTCTGATCATGATGAACAAGATGGGGTGGGTGGGGAGACTGCGATACAACAAGAGACTCAAGAAAAACCCAAGCCTATTCCAGTCACTCAACCTCCACCCCCACAAGTAGATAGTTCAGGCAAGAAAGCAGGAGAAAAACCTCAAGTGCAGCCATTACCAGTCACCCAACCTGTGCAGCCACAAACCGATAGCTCCGAGGTTTGAATTTCATTTACATGGTACCCTTTTAAGATATTCATCATATAGTGCATATGTGGATTTCCTTTTGAGTGTAATATTTACATGTACTAGATGATTTTAGTTTATATTTTTGCTTCAAAGAAGGGATCACCATCTAATGAAGAGGCTGCACCCCTCACTGCATCACAGACAGAAGGAGCACAACAGCAGCCGTCACAGCAACTGTCACAGCAGCCGTCACAGCAACAACAGCAAGAGGTTTCTACAAGTGAAATTCCTGGAGTGCTTTATAAGGTAAAGATCATCTGAACTTTATAACACTCCCTTCTTTTGTCAAAGAGAAAGGTGAAGAAATCGTCATTTAGTTAAATTATTAGTCTTGAACAAGAGGTCCAGATATGAGGACCTGGCAGCTGGGAACCTACTCTTGTTTTAAATTCTTGGACAAGACTGGGACTTTTCTGTCACAGTGCCTCGCAACATTTGGGTGTTGGAGAATTGTTAGCCTCAGTTGTTTGAAGGCTGGATAACGCTAAACCACCGGATAAATCGCTATCCAGTAGATATGTGTTAACGAAACAAGCCACACTATCCAATGGATAGTGGTTTATCCTGTGAATGTGATGTCCACCTTTCGAACAACCCAGGCCAGTATCTTATTCAGGAGAGACAGGAATGCTCCTAGTCATTTCATAACACAGAAACAGGTGAAAGAAAACTTGAAAGTGTCATCATCTACAGATGTAGTTCCTTTGATTCTCAGAATGGACAAGTGAATTGACTGTTGTTGACTAAGTCAATCAACAAAATAGCTTGTGAAGATCTAAGTTCTCTGCAATTCAAATAAAATATGATATTTCAAATTATTCACTTGCAAAATAGCTTGTTTCAGTACTCTGATATCTGAAAGATGAGAATGATCTAGTATAGAATGTTCTTAAATTGTAAACTGTTTTTCTCCAGGTTCGAGCAGCATACAAATATGTAGCGGAAGATGATGATGAGTTATCTTTTGAGAAAGGAGAAATTATTAGTGTTATAGAATTTGAAGATCCAGAGGAACAGGTAATTTTTATTTCCTAAAATGTAAGACATGTAATAGCCCTGACCGACAGTAAATACCATAAGTGCATGATTGTACAGTCATAATTAGTAATTATCATTTACAGTCAGCTTATTATGTTTTTACTCACTGACAGGCAAATGAATGATGCAGCTGAGTAATAATGTGTTTCTTTTTGCAGGATGAAGGATGGCTCCTTGGTATCTTAGAACTTAGTGGTATTAAGGGTGTTTTCCCTGCAAACTTCACAAAAAGAATTTAATAGTTAAGTCATAGTTGAAATAATTAAAAATAATAAAACAAGGAAGATGATAATTACTGGTATATTATCACTCCCTAAACACAATCTTGAAGCTGCAAAGCAATGCTTTATCAAGGGTATTATAAGTACAACATAGTAATATATCACAAATATTGCATACTTTCACTACTGACCAGAGTCAAAATGTAAGGCAGACATTTACTTATGACTCTGGGCACTCAAGACATGCAAGTGAATGTGCTAATAATTATTATTGATGTTGTTCAAAGGACACTGCATTTAGTGATCAGATAAAATTCCAGTCAGCCTAAAACAAAGTGTGCAAGATCAGGTCTATATTTGACCTTTCTGTAAACTAGTTTGCTTTCATCTGTGGAGTTGCTCACTGTCACACGGATACACACAGTCCAATACTCCCATGTAATGACCTACACACATATACATTGCTCAGTAGTAATAACGGACCACTCAGTTAAGAGACACACAGAGCTTTGCTTTATCAGGACTGATCCTTTATGGAGTGGCTGAGCTTTGTGCTAGTCTTATTAAATATTGTTGCATTGCTGTTGTTCCCATATATTCCTGACACTTTTTCTGGAATAAAGTCATAAATTATTTGGACACTATAGGTTTCCTTCTCCCATGACAACCATACAAAATTCCAAGCCCTATTTTTTATTACTTGTGCAAGCTGTATAGTTAGGGAAATTCAATTACCTGTTTTGAAATGGGAATTGTAGGTCATATTTACATTTGTTTGCCAACCTTTTAAGCTTCGGAAGTAGAGTTATAAAATACGTTGGAAGGAAATGGGCTGTAATAATTATTCTAAAGATAGTCTCTCTAGGCTGTCAAACAATTCACAGAAGATACTCCTTCATGTTCAATTTTCACACCTTGTTGGGCCAGATTGCCTGGCAATTTGCAGGTGATATTTTGCCAAAAGAGCCCCAAATAACTGAGAGCAAAACTGTTGGTCTCCATTATTTTATCATGGTATCAAACAGTATTAGTTTAAAACTACTGACAGTCATTTCCGAGTACGAGCTGAGTGCAAAGAGATCATGTCTTGAAAGTAGGACCTTTTTGTTGCCAAGTTTAAGAAAATAGTTTAGAAAATGTCTCAAGATTCTGTACAGTTTTTCAGATTATTTTGCTCATGAAATATTAGTTAAAGACAGTTGACTGTTGGTAGCTTAAATTGTACCATAGAAATGTAAATTGCAATTTGTTCCACTGCAAGATCTGCTGTGCTCACTTGCTACATATGCTAAAGAATGTGAAATACAGAATGTCTCTGGAAACTATGATTGTGGTGGAATATTTGTGACAACCATTTGGGCAAGTCAATATAATTTGTTTTCTCTTCAGAATACTCCTACCCTGATTCTCAGATAGTCCATGGCACTCCTGGCCATGCGCTCTGCATGCAAGCAACCTGGATCATCTGAGAATCAGGCTAGAGTAGCTAGCCTATGTTGCTGGCAGGATTTCAAGAACGAGTACTTTGTTTCAGCAGCCAAGCCTATAACTTATAAATAACCCACCGGGGAGAATGGTGAGTAATCCTAACATCTGTAGCCCAACTGCCAAAACAAAGCACTTGACTGTGAAAATCTCACCAGCTACACTCATCTCTGGTTAACGTCATAGTTACCCCACTGAGATTTTAGTAAACGGTTGTGCTCCTATGTACATTATTTACCAGGATTTCCCAATAAAACATTAAATCTGAAAATCTATTTCAACACATGGCAATTAACAAATCTAGTCTTGCATTTCGTGGATTCGATATCTTTGCCTTTCTTTTTTTGAGGGGGGGGGGNAAACTGTCCTACTGAACCATAGCCTGTTCTAAATTATGCAAACGGTGTTAACTCAATCCATTATGGCAAAACAAAGAGCACAGAGAGTAGGATCTCCAGCCAGAGTTTAGATTTCCATATCTTGATCAATTAGGACAATTGGAAACTGCTCATGAGAATAGTTTTACAATTCCTTTTAGCAATTTGCAAAAAAATAAAAGCATTTACAGTTAGTATATCCATCAAAATCTGTAATAAACTGGATTTAGGTTTTTATTATTGGGAAACTTTAAACCTGGCTACCAATCAACAGAACCCTTATGGTCCTTATGACACCCCAAGTTGAGGTTCCTTATTCTCATCACCAGTTTGGTTGAGAATGTCTTGATACTCTCAGGAGAAATAAGATGTTAACTTCTCTTGGCTTTACAACCCTTTTGAACTGAATTACATTTACTTAAGGAGTGATATGCTTCAAGGATAAAAGAAGACTCACCACAGTAAAGGCAGCTCAATTTTGACGTTACATTTTATTCATCTCACTTTTATTATTTTTTTACTGTTATTCAGAATGTGACAGATTTTCTGTGTATTGTAAGTTAATATTCTATTGCGACTGAAAACAACCTTATCTAATAACTGTCACAAACCATTACCCTTCATTTTATTAACTATCAAAAAATCTTTTATTTATAATTAATAAAAGATTTTTTGAGGTTCTCATTAAGACAAAAAAAAAAATTAAAACCCTCTATTTGTTTTAATTTTTTGTCTTAATGAAAACCTCAAAATGTTACAGTGAGGGCACTTAGGAATCCCATATAAAATGGACGGGGGTGTTCGTCATACCTTTTAGGGGTTAAAAGAAGCAGTTTTAGTACCTCTTAGGGTGTTCAGCCTTTAAAGGTACACAGCAGGAGCTTTTCAGTACCTTTCAGGGTATTGAGCTGAATAAAATATGACAGATGTGTTGTTTTAAAATTGATACTTCCTAAAAGGGTGAAAAAAATTAAAGCCATGCCCACAAAAAAGGATTTTGGTAGCTCTTAGGGTGTTCAGCCTTTAAAGGTACACAGCGGGAGCTTTTCAGTACCTTTTAGGGTATTGAGCTGAATAAAATATGACAGATGTGTTGTTTTAAAATTGATACTTCTTAAAAGGGTGAAAAAAAATTAAAGCCATGCCCACAAAAAAGGATTTTGGTACCTCTTAGGGTTTTTTTTTTCAAAATTCCTGACATGCACCCCTGTTCTTTTTATAAGGGAGTCCCCCCATGAAGGCTTTTCATATTAACAAAATTAGTCTTCAAGTTAATATTAGTATTTTTGCACTGTGGAAACATCAATCTTTAAAGTTATATGAAGAACCTTTGCTCTTTAGTCACCAAAAATACCATACAAAACAAGTCAAGTGTTCATGGTTGAAGTGTCCTTACTGCAATAATTACCTTACTGATAAAATCTTTCATCTACTTCAGTCTAATCCCATTTGGCAAACAGCAAGTGCTCTTAATTTTATCACCACTGACAATACTTCCGAAATTGAAAAGCATTCAGTTTTGTTGCATGTATGTCCACTATCTTTTTTAACCTAACTTTGTTAGATATAATCAGTTCTGAACTTGAAACAATCCTATCTGACTTGTATAAATTCTTAATTAATTTTATATGTGTACACAAAAGACTTAGCTTAGTCCACTTATCTGCAAGAAGTACTCCTTAAATTAACAAAATAAGGGGATATTGATTGAATAAGTCGTTACAATTCTTCTTTGTTGTTTATTGTATATATATCTCATATTATTTTACAGTTCTTTTTTTCCTTCAGGATGTCTGCCAAAACAAGAAATTAATGCTCAACATAATAAATTATGTGTATCAAGTAATAAATAGACTGGCACTATACAAACTATATTATTACATTATTACAAACCAAATGATGTCACTGTGGTATAACAGCTACTTAGCTTTTCACTTAATGCCCAAATTTCATTTGGCAAAATCTCTCAAAACACACAGCATTGTGAGCAAGTATAGCTTTGCAGCTTTAATTTTAATGAACGATTACACGACAGGTTTCATCCAAACGCTTTATAAGTACCACATGGTGGACATGCTTTCTGTGGTTTCCTACCCAAATTAGGCAAATTAAAAGAAACCAGTGGCAGATCCAGACCTCTTTATGTTGGGTGGGATGCTTGAGCAGGGTGGGGGGGACCTGGGTTCCTAGACCAAGAGGTCACATTACAAAATAAATAAACTATTGGCAGTTTGTTTTGTCTGAATATAGTTATTGTTGAGCTGACTTGAGTGTGAATTATGTATCCATATCTTAATAGTTTTTCCCCTGAGAAATGGGATTGGAAACTTTGGATCCTGTCTCAGGATCTTGGAATCCTTTGTGATGGGTAAGTCTGGTCACTTTGGTGTTTCTTTCTGTCCCAATCTAAAATACGATTATTTAAGATACACCGATTTCAGATTTTCAGGGTGTCTCGGTGTTGTTGTGTGGCGTGGATTGTAACATTCGCTACCCGTAACAGATCTCTTCATATGAATACATATATATTCTTTTTCTTGTTAAGGGAAAATTTCATTCTCAGAATTTAATAAAAAATCTCAATTAACTCACTGAAAGGGTGGCAAATGATCTAGACTTTCATTGATGTACATGTCGAGCAAAATTTTGATTAGTAAAATTTCCCACATCTTGCGATCTTAGTTTTTATCATTACATGGTCTTTGAGTCTCGATTTCTTTTACATGTTTAGGAAAAGTCTTGGCTTTACAGCAAAGATATCACTCTCACTGTGTCACTGTTACCTCACACTACTGTTTACCACTGAATATAATTGTGATGCCCTATTGTCTTACTGTTAGAGCTGCAATAACTTATTTTATAATATATAATTTACGCCCGTCCAGTCTTTCTCTTGAACTCCTCCAGTTCTTTCAGATAAGCCAGAGGTGGCCAGCGATGTTCCAGAACATGTCGGCGATTATCTCCTTTGATCAGATCAAAGTCATCACAGGCTTCAAAGTCAGAGTAGTTCGTGGTGATCAAATATAAACACCATCTTGCCAACTGAAGTGCATTGTGGGCCTTCAAATGTAATGACAAAAATTACATTCTGTTATTAGACTATTAATTTATTATAGACACGGGTGATTTAATGGAAAATAAACCACTCATAAAATTCATACGAAACCACATCCGGGACTCAGGTTGCATATTTTCCATATCCTCACTAGTGAAGATATTGATGACTTTGACACTGATATCATGTTTGACCCTCAAACTGCACTTAAATTTGTTGGTACACATGACTGAAACATCTTCGGATCTTCCTCAAAAGTCTTCAGCAATCTTGAGTTATCTCTGGAAATCTTCGGTAATCTTTGGAAATTTTCGGAAAATGTTTCGAAACATTAATGTGGCATTTGGGCCTTTTTGCTCTTTTTTCCTCATGGTATTAAATATTTGATTTGCACACAATACAACTAGTAACACCTACCTGTCCAGTTAACAGCAGATTGATCACGTCATTACACTGGGCAGAATTGAGTTGTTTTTTCTTGATTTCTGCACTAATTCTATCTACAATGGCACTTTCACACACTGAAATAAGCTGAGGAAGGCAAAATCTGTCGGCTAATACCAGCAGTTCCCTGTAATCACCGACTGTCATGTTGGTTGGCACAGTGTCCGTATACAGGAACACCAACAGAGCCAAGAAACTTTTCACTGTTGTTACCTTGATTGTGACCTGTTAGTTAAATGCATGCAAGAAATGAATAAATTTACAGAGGAGGGCAAAGCTGCAAGAGACATACACGTGAGACGAGATGAGATAGGACAAGACAAGCCCCCACGTCATTCCTAAACTTGCTCACATGCCAAAGCAAAAAAGCCAGAAATCAGTGCTTGAGTGCAAAACCAAGACACTAAAGCCTGCTTACAGGCTAGTCATTGTGCTAAACTCTGGATCAAGCAAGTTGTCATAATCCTTCAAGAGTTATATCTGCAATCACTTCCCAGCAAAATCATTCAGTTTAAGAAAGTCTACCATGCACAATAAAATTAAAACTTTGTCTTAAAACATTGCTCATTTTAAGGTATGCACACCCTAAAATTGAAAATCACTTTGCATGGAAAAGAATGGCAAATATGGACTGGGTCCTTAGTTAAACCTGCAGCAATTTTCCAAGCAACATAATAATGAACATCAAAATAAAATACACCTGTAAAAGCATTTCTGAATTGTACAAACTGCAAATTAAATACCAGTAGCCTTTAAAGTACGTTATTGATAATACACCGTAAATCCTTGACCTACCTCAAGGCTATCTTTCTCACTGAAGCCACCACCAAACATGGCAGCCATGACCTCGGACCTTGCCATTAGTACAGCTCGGTGAGCATACAGCACAGTGTTCTGTACATGAAATATAACATCTGAAAAATGTGGCTTGTTGATAAAGTTCTCTTTCATGATTTTGCTTCTCTCCTCATGAAGAATGGCGACCATGCTTGGATTAAGGTAACTCTCTCCATTTGTCATGTTTTCACAGATCTGTCCTAACCAAGGAATGCGCAATCTGTGGGATAAGCTCATGACTTTTGTTAACAGTGACTCATCGGTATCAGAAGAAACATTCAGTGAACCAGTGTACAGGAACTCAAGGACATGTTGAAATACTTTACCAGAAACACCGTTATTGAAATGCAAGCAAGTTTTTGTCTTTGTCTTGGGCTTCCTTTCCAGATTTTGTGAGAAATCCAGCCTTTGATGATTAATGACAGAGCAAAGATTTGTGCCAAATGCTTCTTTCACATTGCCCTTCTTTCCAATTGACCTGTTAAATTCTCGACTGGCAGAGCAAGAGCAGGAATCAGCAGTACTAAGTAATCTGCTGAGCTCTACTTCCTCGCCACTGTTTAGAAAGAAATCTCGAAACACAGCAGAGCCTATACACAGGATGATTTTATGAGCTTCAAGTGGGTGATTGTTGGAACTGAAGAGGAGTCTGATGTCTGAATTTCCAGTTTCATCTCTGCACATTTTCTTCATGTCATCAGTGAAAGTAGAAGGAAGAATCTTAACTTGGGGCATTGGATCTGTTTGAAAATATACACGAAACAAATTTAATTAATTATAACACCGATTTTACCACCTTCACTGGAATGGACTTCAAATCCAACAGTCTGGGGTCAGTGACAAGAACTTGATCTGACTGTGTTCTAAGTAAGCACCAGCAACCAGTGAAAACTGTTGTGTTCTAAAATTTTCAGGAGAACCCTGTGTGACTGACATTGATCAAGTTAATTTTGTACTGAAAGGTATAAAACTAAGGAGCAAAATTGTTAAACTAGTCTCAAGGTACACACCTGGTGGTGATAGCACAGGAGGCTCTGGTCCATGCCGTAACATCTTTGGAGTCTTCCTCTGCCACTGAAAAATTTTAAACTTTGTTTTTGACGGATTTTGGTTCATAACTGCCAAACGCACAGCTGTATCAATCACACTATGGACGCCATCTCCTGTCTCTGCACTGCTTTCACAGTAACGGGTTCCCAGGCGCTCGGCAAGTTCACGCCCTTTTGCTATTGTAATCATACCATCCGGAGCGGTGCTATTGAAGGAAAAACATATTCAATTTCACTGAGTCACATCTGAATTCATCATTGATCACGCAGATGTTGTAGAAATTTAAATTAGATGAAAATCGTCACCTACTGTAGGTTTTACCTTGATCTACAAGTATGGCTCAATTCACACACAAAAAAAACACATTTATTTGTTTGCAAACATTACACATGTAAGTAAAAACTACAAGCACAAAACACAAATTCGTGATACGCTTATGAATTTGACATGTACTTAACTTAGTACAACATGTAAAATTCAATTCTCATCTTAATTTCCCCTGAAAATCAAACTTGGATGACTAATATGTGTTGTGCATATTAAGAGGTACTAAATATTATTGCGTGTAGCTTAGCTTATTTTAAAGAAAATGATTACAAGACAAAACAATCTACTATTTAGTCTGATTGCCACACCTGCCAATTTGTGATATGAGGTGTCATGTTGTTGAATTAAGCATAGAATTCATGGACTATCATATTGCTATCAAGCAGCTGTTCTAAAGAAGATTTTTTCATCCAACAGGATGACAAACAAAATGTAGAATTATTTATATTATTTCAGCTTATGCTAATAAACAAAACATTTTCACTACAGAGTGGTTCAGACCATAACTTTTTCCATGGCATTCATTTCTGCCATTAATCAACACATGTATACAGACTGTATTATACTGTGTGATAATTGGACTCAATAAAAAATTAAAATAAACATTGCATGCAACCCTTTAGCTTCGTGCCTGAATAGCAGACAGGAACAATATTATACCGGACGTTTTCTGGCGTGAATATAAATATGATGTTGATTAATATGATGTCGATTCATATTTTAAAAGCATTACATTCCAACTATTGTGCATCATTATATCCTGGTTCACCAGTTTTATTGAATACAATATTACCACGTAATATTTGATGGTTCCTCTATATTTAAAATATAAACAAGGTGGTAGTGATAATTCAAATATAATTATTTGGACTTTCAAGAAGCCATTACATAAGCAGCATTATCATGCCCTCTATACCAGGTGAAACATGTGGTTAGAAAAACTATCCATACCCACCCCCTGGCAGAGTCATTGAAAGTACAAAGGAGGCGAGGTGTCTTAAAAGCCAATAAAAAGTGTGAAGCTACATTGGAATTTCCTGAGGGGTGGGGAGTTTAAACCAAAAACCCTTCCATATGTAGGGTATGGATATTTTCTGGAACATGATGAAAAGAGCGTTGTACGTGTACACATATACACCTTTAAACCATGCCATAAGAAATACAGCCAATCAGAATACAGGAAAGCCGTTGTATATTTGACGATATTACAACCAACCTTCCCATCATGCACTGTGCATATGTCACATTGACTGTGCTGGCTACTCTATTTTCTACAGCAAGGTATTAAGGCGAGAGTCTACAGTATATCAAGAAAATACAAGTGAAAAACAGGATATTCCATGGTGGACCCCAAGAAAGTGTTGCATGTATCTTTTAGGTGCATATTTCTCCAGAGAGGTTTTCAAATGAAAATGAAATTCATTGCTATAATGTGCAGATTAAGTTGAAATAAGACAATGTGGGAAACAGCTGGTGCCTAATGGATCACAAAGGGAACCTCTGATCATGAAATAGGGGAACACCATGGAGACAATCAACCACTCTGAGGGTGTCTACAACAAGGAAAGGAAAACCCACAATCAAATCACACGGGTTGGGGACTCTCATTTTCCTAACATTTTTGCCTTCATTAGAACTATAGTACAAATTTGAAACAAATACGAAAGTGAGAAAGTGTGGTTCGCTGAAACTCAAAACCCTGTCAAAATTACACAAATGAAGAATATTGTAAACAATAGCCTTGCCAAACAATTATTTTTATACACAGAGTAAATTTTCCTTTTCTGTTCATTCTACGTAATACTATACGTCAGCAAGCCTTCAATTAGACAAAATTGTGACAGAAAACTTCCTCGGACGTCACAGAATCGAAGCCCAACAATGTAGTCTAAATTTTCACTTCTTGTCGCTTCAGGCTATTAACGTTGGTGAATCCACCGAAATGTGACCAACTCCGTTACTATAATATTAGCTTAACGTTAATTAACATCATGGCAAAAGATCACAACTAAAAGAAGATGAGTGGCATGCATAAGGACTTACGATTTTTGTCAACAATACCGCAGAAGCCTACCTAGTTAATCGATCGTGCGGGAGACTTATTTGCAACACAAGGGGAAGCATACTATCGAAGTTGCGGTTTCGGAAATTTCCATTGGTTTCTATCGATCTGAAATTAAAGTGAACCGAAGAGAACGAGATTTAAGCTTAAATCAAGCGTAAACAAGACAAAACGTTTTCAGTAAACACACGGGCATAATTTCCCGGGGTATTCACAAGAACTCAACCTGAAATAAGCTTACGTACATCTCGAAAACAACATTTATCTTGAATAATGAGGAGTTAAACCACGCAAATTAAAGGTTATCCCAGTTGGCTAGGAAACGATATTTAGAACAGCAGTAATCATCTCAAAACAAATGGCATAAGCTTATGTAAAATTATAAACACGCTTCACGGGTTAAAAATACACATATCAGACCATAAACACGACGTAAGCATCTGTAAGAAGATCAAGAAATGGTTTGCTGATCTATCTACACGCGTACGAAGTAGTTGTCTTTACTATCCCTACCTTGCCGTGCGTAGATCAGTTTTGTTTCCAACTACGAGGATTGGTGTTGTAGGCATGTAGTGCTTCAGTTCCGGAACCCATACTGTTGAAACGTTTTGGAAAGAGCTGGGATTCGAGATGTCAAAGAAGACGAGAAATACATCGGTTTCTTCGTACTCCATGGGACGAAATTTTAGGAAATCAGCTCCGCAGATCGTGTCCCAAAACGTTAACACATAACTCACTCGGTCCACGGTCGTGTTAGTGAAGAATGGATCTTGTACAGCTGGTAAAATCCTCGCTCGTCCTGGGAATAATGGTGTGTCATCTTCACAGGCAAAGTTCTCATTGTACCAGCGAATCAGAAAGGAGGTTTTACCAACGCTGCCGTCTCCTACAACCTTAATTTTCAAGCGACGCATAGTTCAGCCTTCAAAATGAATTCAACAATACAAAACTGAGCAAAAGAGCCCAGTTCATGTGGTCACTGAACTGCTACGACACGGCTCAAAACAATCTTTTGAACACCCTTTTGAAATGAATATTAGATTCAGGCTTCTGCGGCCAAATGCGAATTCGACCAATCGGCGACGTTCTTTTATGGCCCAGACAAAAGCCGCATGAAGATAATCACTTTTCTCTCACGCATCGCACAAAAGGATCACGCAAAAACGAGGGAAATTTTAATTCCGTCGTTTTTGATTGGCAGCTACTTGCTACTATTCCTAGGGTCTCTCATTATTGCAATGTAAAGGATTACGACGCTAGCTAATTTAAGGCTATGAAATAATCTACAAAAGGTTGGCGGCAATTTTAATCGACCTGCAAACAGCCTGTCAAATCGTTTTCCGGGTCTATTCAGACACAAAATTTGCATTCAGCTTTACCGTCCTCTGCCTCGGCTATACAGTATTGTCTATCTTTCGTTATCTTAGTAACAAACGCATAATTGTTTTATTTCATATTATCTTATTTTCGTCTTTGTTACCTTTGAAAATCGATCGATGCCCAACGAATTTCTGTCGAGGTCTCCGTGCATCAAAACGCCCATTTTCAGTGAACTATTATACAAATGTTATATAGTATTGTTTTTCCTTTTGTACAGACAAAGCGGAAGCTGTGTCCACCCTTCTTTTTTTATTAAAAGCAGGAAGTTATTTTTTCTTCAGAATTTTCAACCAAGCACATTTTTTTTTAATAACGGCAGTTTGACAGACAGTGTTTCAAATTTGCATATCAATACGGTAGAACATAATAGAAGCGAACCAATTATTCTGACACAAGCTGTTGAAACATCATGACTTTTCTTGAGTTTCCGCTGAAATTTTTTCTGATTAGTTACAGGCTAAAACCTGGTGTGATGGAGTTTCATTATTTGTTATGAATCCGCCCGGCCGCAAAAAAGTAGATATATTGAAGATGAAGAGGAACTGATAAAACTGTTTTGGTATCAGTTTCTTTGAAAAAATAAATAATGTAAAACGATCATTTGCTGCTGGACAATAATGTTTAAAAGTGGTCCGCTTTTAATTGTGAAATCGTTTTGCGATCGATTCCGCAAATGAAAACGAATTAAAAATCATGTGAGTAATTTTTCCATCTCAGGCTCCTCACAGAAGGAGCCCAATAAAATAAAGAACGAAAAAATCCAAATCGACCTCGGATATGAACTGTCGAAGACTGCTTTACAGCTCATTTATAGCTCCTTTATCGGGCTCCCGCTTTCCCGTGGTGGTGGAGGGGGGGGGGGAGAAGGGAACTCCCATATAAAAAGGACGGGGGTGTTCGTCGTACCTTATAGGTTTCTAAAAGGAGGTTTAGGCGCCTCTTAGGGTGTGCGTTCAGCCTCAAAAGATTCCCAGCAGGGACTTTTGCGGTTCCTTTTAGGGTATTGAGCCACAGGCGGCCCAAGCTCTCAATGTTATCCTTTTTTTT